TACACATAGGTTTTTTAAAAAAATTTGGGCCCCACTCAGCTTTGGGCCCAGGGCTATAGCCCTAGTAGCCTTGGCTCAAGGTCGCCTCTGCACGTATGTGGTGCTATGAACAACTTCATTTAATCATGCTGATGTGCTTTATTTTTGCACAACATGATTGTTGAGGATGAGTATGAGGATCTAGATGCAGAATCTGATGATGATGATAATTGTCCATGAACATCTAGAATAACAAGATCAACGACAATTACAAATAAAGATAAACTAATAACCACCATGTGAATGGCTTGGATAATAGTCTCTAGAGTTGTCTTCTGGAATGTATGGGGAACTTGTATTCATCTAGGCCTCCATAATTTCATCTTGCTTATTCCCCTAATTTTTCATTCTTTCTTGGAGTAAATTTGGATAGGTCCATAGATATTATCCTCTGTTCATTGGCCTCCTTATCTTTGTTGGACTTGATAGGCATGTTGAGATTCGGTAAGTTTGTTTTGCGCTTATAGGAGCTCTAGCTTTCGCCTTCTATCCTCCTTGAAATCATTTCCTTATTGAATCAACTCAGCTTGAACTCATGTTTATGGATATTTCAATTCCTTTCTCTTTCTTTTTTGCCACCTTCTATTTATCTCATCCAAGTGGCCTTGTAGTGGGTTGTTGCACATCATCTCAACCTTCCTCAAATTGACTATATTGCTACTATTGGAAAAATCTCTGACTATTGGTGTGGGAGATTCCAATAGGTCGTTCCACTTTGGGCAATCTTTTAAGATTTTCCAAGCATAGTACAACATAAAAGACCTTCCAAGAGTCTTATTATCATTCAAGAAAAGTGACTTTGCATGCATGTCATACGAATGGGTTAAAAGAAAAAGTAAGCTAATAATTGAAAATAATTATAATTATAAATTTACACTTTGAATAAAAGGGGTACTCACCACATCATTAAGATTAGAGCCACTTGCTTGACTTGCATTGACCTTAGTCATACATGCTTTTCAAAGAGAGCATTGTTGGTCAATGATTTTGAACCGACAAGCAATGGCCTGTGAAGTTCAACGCTCCAGCCCAGCCATGCTTGGATCATTCTCCGAAAACTTTTGGTACACACGAACCCAAAATGTATCGATTGCTTGGTTGATGCCAATCGCCCCATCTTCAGATACATAAACCCACCCTTTGCACAATGCCTCATCTTCTTCTAGTCTCTAATGCACACCTTTGGGATTTTGGGGCCATCTTCAACAACAATGGAAAGGTAATTAACAAAATTAACAAAGGGAAAAGGATAATATTGAATTTGGTAGATTATTTAACAAATGGATGATTATCTATAGAGTTTGGGATGAGTTTTGGGGTTGGATCTATTTTACATAAATTAATAATATTATTATGACCCTTGGATTTAATTTTCAGCTGTTGGCCCTCAATTTTTACAGTTGGATTTGCACTAAAAAATTCCCAGCCATAGATCAAATAGTCGTTGGAGTAGAATATATTCAAAAAAGAAAAAGAAAAAAAGAACCAGCAGTTCAAAGTTAATTGTTGGTTTGCAATGGTCACAAGAGGAGAGTGCGACATGTGTCCCCAGCAAGGAGATTCTGAATCTGACTCAGCTGACTGTGGGCTCCACCATCACGTGGGTAATTTTGCAAATTGCTTTTGGACTTGCTGCTGGCGTGAGAAATAACTAACGCACAAATTAAACCCTATAAATCATGCAATCATAGTACGAGTAAGTAGGGATCGTTCTATTCTGGGGATTAGGAGGGATGCTAATCAACACAAATTAAACTTATTAAACTGGAAACTAAGTTAAGGGAACAATGATTGGGGGGGATTTTGACGATTTAGACTAAAGTAAGACTGACAGCAGCAAACAACTAAGTTGTGAATGAAATATGGATTAAGAGATAGCTAGAGGATTCTTCTCCACACATGGAACATATGCACACAAATCGATCTCCAGTTACTCTTTCTATAAAGTATGAATGACAAAGCCCCAAATTAATTGTGAATGCACTAATTAACTCTCAGATTTTCCTAAGTTCATTGAATTGGACTCAGCGACGCAATCAAATTATCCTTATCAAGTTCCCTATATGAACAGCATGATAGAGATACATATCAAAGATCATTAAGTTCTATGAAAATCATAAGCCTTGACAAGACAATTGTAACTATGAAAAGCATGATACTCCTGCCAAGAATTTACTTAACACAATCATGACTAGTGACTTTTACTACTTGTGAATATAAGTTCATAACGATTAGGTGAAATTCCCTTATATTCTAGCATCAAATCCCTGCATACAAACTAAGTATGCATCCTTAATAAACATGCAAGAATAAGTCCTCAATAAAACAGAAAAGTAAATCACATTCATACTTTATGAAACCATAACTGGAAGTAATCAATTCATGTAAAACATATGTCCATGGCTTCGAATTCACCTCTAACTAAGAAGAAATTCAGTTACACATGTTCATAATAATTGAAAAGCAATATAGAATAAACATTTGAACTAATCAAGGGAAGAACTTTGAAAAACCCAATGGATGCAGCAGGTTCCGGCTCCAAGTTCTTCTTCTCCCTTTCTCCTTTCTTGCTACGACACCAAAAGAACTCCCTTCTCCTGCGGCAACCCCTCCTTTATATATGTGGTAGATCTAGGGTAAAAGGGCCCAGCAGAAACCCACGAAATTAGGGTTTTGTTTGGAAGATTTCTTTAGGAATAATAGGGCCCAATAGAAACCCACGAAATTAGGGTTTTTAGGTTCCCTAATCTGAAATTAATCCCCCCCCTTTTATAGCTGGAATTTAGGTCGAATAGGATTAGGATAAGGTAAAATAAAATAAAATCAGTTAGGGTTTTTTACTTCCCAGAAGCTGATTCTTGAATTAATGTCCCCATCTTTTTAGCACATTCCTAGCCTCTTCAAACTTCAAAAACGTCCATTCATCTTGGCCCACGCATATGCTACCTATTCCAAGTCCAAAACTGCTCTAAAATGCTCCAAAATGCCCTTTCTTGCCAATCTTGCCATCTGGACCTACAATAGTACGAAAATAAGCTAAATCACTCTAATAAATGGGAATTAACTAAGTAAATGCAATGAAATAAGATACCAAAGTCGCATAAATATGCTCCTATCAAATTCCCCCACACTTAGCTTCTGCTAGTCCCTAGCAGAACAAAGAAAACAAAACAAAACCTAAACCTTCCAACAATTGCCTCAGGGATTTCCAATGAAACATGACATATTAAAAATCACTACTCACACAGATTTGAGCCATCCTTACCCTCGAGCTCATACTTAATCACAGTAAACACTCACTAGCTCACATTTAATCAATTAAAACAACATTTGAAAGTGGTAACATGCCTTAGAGAATTCACTCAATTCCTCACCCGATATACTCTCTATTTTCACACAGATTTTCTGACCACACTCCCTATACTAAGTATATGTGAGAAGATTGATGTAAATGTGTAGACTAGCACTCACATATGTTATAACAAAGAAAGCACTTTCTGGAATTATTAATACGAACATGTATATGATCTCATGAACAGAATGCTACTACTTAGAAGCGAGAACCAGGGATTTCATAAGCTCATACCAATTTCAAACTCCACATATTGAAACACATAACAATCAGGATAGAAGTCTAAGGGTTGTATTGGGGCTAAGGTATTGGCTAACAAAGAAAGGTTAAGGATAAACAAAGGTTCTTAAAGTAATAGTAAATAGAGCAATGAAATCAACACTTGGAATTCAACTTGTGATTGCAGGACCCAATTTTTAGCACAAAGGGGAGATTTATTCAGATTCACATATCCCTTCTTTTTTTTCTCTCTTTTTTTTGTTTTTGTTTTTTTTGTTTTTTGTTTTTTTTTGGACAACACTAATCCAAAGGAACAAATCCTCCCCCACACTTTTTTTTTTTTTTTTTTTTTTTTTTTGTTTCAAATCGTAAATCAAAAGGAATTCCCAACAAGTCATGCCTGACTATTCTTTAAGAACAAGGGTATGGATATTCTTATACTAGGCTAGGTAGGGATAATGCAAGCTAACAAAGAAAATAAGCTAAATAAGGCTTCAAAATGGTTAAACCTACAATGCATATGCAAGGGATAAGGCTTTTTGGCTCTGATGGTAACTAAACAACTTCATCTTGTTATTTGTTACGCAATCAATTTGATGCTTTGAATGGAACGGGCATGAGTTCTAGTATTTGGAACTAAAGAGATGAAAAAGCATTCTAAGTAGCAACCAAGCAAAGAAATAATGAGATCATGCAACGACTTTAGAAAACAAGAATATCAAGATTAATAACTCTCCAAACAAAGAACAGGCTCAAGTCTCTCAGGGTTGCAGCGTTAGTTTGAGTTCCTTCCTTCCAGCATGTTACAAAATTATCTTTTTTTTTTTTTTTTTTTTTTTTTGTGATTACATGTGAATTCGTAATTGACAACTATAACTAAGTATTAACCAAAGAGCATATCAGACTTCCACCCATGTTTGTAACTTTCTTTAAAAGTCATGCAATTAAAAACCAAATCCTCATCATTGTGTTGGAAGGTACCCTAAGACACAAATAAACAACAAAAACGACTCTTTGATTTTTTTTTTTTTTTTTTTTTTAAAAAATTTAAATAAAGCACGAAAACACTTTTTAAAACAGTGAATAACAACATTAGTAGTGATAGGTGGTGAATTTTGAAAATAAATCACGAAAAGCACTCTGTTTACCCCCCCACACTTAAACTAAACATTGTCCTCAATGTTTCAAAAGAAAACTTTAAACAAGAAAGCAATAAGAGACAACTAGCAAACAAGACAATTATAGCAAAGTAAAAATAATAAAGAGAAGAGTAAAAGAGAGCAAATCTGGTTGTAGAGCCCGGAGATTCCGTTGTCTTTCTATTTGAACACATGGGTTGCCTCCCAAGAAGCGCTTGCTTTAACGTCTTCCAGCCGGACGGTACCTCCCTTTAAGCTTCACTAGGGCCAATGGCATGGAGGGGTACATCCTCCACTACATGCTCCTCAAAAGACTCATAGTATGGCTTCAAACGGTGTCCATTCACTTTGAATTCATGTCCCGTCTTAAAACTTTGAATTTGGACTGCACCATAGGGAAAAACATTAGTAACAACAAAAGGACCAATCCATTTAGAACGCAACTTACCTGGAAACAAACGAAGGCGAGAGTTGAAAAGTAACACTTTCTGCCCCACAGAAAATGTTTTACTACGAATCATCTTGTCATGGGCAGCCTTTGTTTTCTCCTTGTAAATATGAGCGTTCTCATAAGCTTCAGTCCGAATTTCCTCAAGCTCATTCAATTGCAATTTCCTATGAAGTCCAGCGGCATCAATGTTCATGTTGAAAGTCTTGACTGCCCAATGTGCATGATGTTCCAACTCAACTGGAAGATGGCATGGTTTCCCATAAATGAGCCGAAAAGGAGACATTCCAATTGGTGTTTTGTAGGCAGTACGATATGCCCACAATGCATCATTCAAACGTAAGCTCCAATCCTTTCGAGTTGGTCCAATTGTCTTTTCCAAGATCTGCTTGATTTCCCGGTTGGAAACTTCGGCTTGTCCACTTGTTTGGGGATGATAAGGTGTTGAAACCTTATGCGTGACATTATACTTCTTAAGTAGTGCCTCTATGGTTCGATTACAAAAGTGAGAGCCCCCATCACTTATAAGTACTCGTGGCATTCCAAATCTTGCAAATATGTTAGTTTTAATAAAATCTGCAACCACTTTGGAATCATTGGTACGGGTGGCTTTTGCTTCCACCCATTTCGAAACATAATCCACAGCAAGTAAGATATAATTAAAACCATGTGAAGAAGGAAAAGGGCCCATGAAATCAATACCCCAAACATCAAAAATCTCAACAGAAAAGATAGGGGTTTGTGGCATTTGATCTTTTGCACCTATATTGCCCGTTCTTTGACAACGATCACAAGTCATACAAAAAGTTCTAGCATCCTTAAAGATAGTAGGCCAATAAAATCCACATTCTAAAACCTTAAGTGTTGTGCGTTGTGTACCAAAGTGACCCCCACATGCATAAGTGTGACAGAAGGTTAAGATTGAATTAAACTCAGAATCATGCACACATCTACGAATAATTTGATCAGGGCAATATTTCCACAAATAAGGGTCATCCCACACATAAAACCGTGCAATTTTTTTAAGTTTATCGCGTTGGTGCCTAGTTATGGTGCTTGGAACTTGTTTAGACACAATATAATTCACAATATCAGCATACCATGGCTCACTTACCTCAATGGTCAGCAATTGTTCATCTGGGAATGCCTCTGGAATAGGTAGAAGGTCTTCTTCATGTACCAAACGGCTCAAGTGGTCAGCCACTACATTTTCACATCCTCTTTTGTCCCTAATTTCCACGTCAAACTCCTGAAGAAAAAGCATCCAGCGAATAAGCCTTGGTTTGGCTTCTTTCTTTGCGAGTAAGTACTTCAAAGCTGCATGGTCAGAGTAAATTATAACTTTAGTACCAAGTAAATAAGAACGAAACTTATCTAAAGCAAACACAACAGCAAGAAGTTCTTTTTCAGTGGTGGAGTAATTCAATTGAGCATCATTCAAGGTTCGGGATGCGTAGTAGATGACGTGTGGCTTCTTGTCTTTCCGTTGTCCCAAAACAACCCCTAAAGCATAATCTGAAGCATCACACATAAGCTCAAACGGAAGGCTCCAATCTGGTGGAACAATGATAGGTGCCGAAGTTAACAATTCTTTGAGGTGATTGAACGCCTTCTCACATTTGTCATCAAACACAAACGGCACATCCTTTTGTAGAAGTCGGCACAAGGGTGTTGAAATCTTCGAGAAATCTTTGATAAAACGTCTATAGAATCCTGCATGTCCAAGGAAAGAACGAACCTCTCTCACCGAAGTGGGAGAGGGTAAGTGGCGTACAAGACCTATTTTTGATTTATCAACTTCAATTCCCTTTTCTGAAACTATATGTCCTAAAACTATGCCTTGTTTTACCATGAAGTGACATTTTTCCCAATTTAAAACAAGGTTGGTTTCAATGCAACGTTTTAATATCAACATGAGATTAGTTAAACAGCCATCAAAAGAGTCACCAAAGACACTGAAATCATCCATGAAAACCTCAATAATCTTCTCAACGAAATCGGAAAAGATACTTACCATGCATCTTTGAAAGGTGGCTGGTGCATTACATAAACCAAATGGCATTCGTCGATAAGCAAAAGTACCAAACGGACAAGTAAAAGTAGTCTTTTCTTGGTCATCTGGGGCTATAACAATCTGATTATATCCCGAATAGCCATCAAGAAAGCAATAAAAAGAATGACCAGCTAACCTTTCAAGCATTTGATCAATGAACGGCAAAGGGAAGTGATCTTTCCTTGTGGTGGCGTTGAGCTTCCTATAATCAATGCAAACTCTCCAACCTGTTTGGATACGAATGGGGACAAGTTCATTCTCTTCATTTTTTACCACAGTGACTCCTGATTTCTTTGGTACAACTTGAACCGGTGAAACCCATCGACTATCCGAAATTAGATAAATGACCCCACAATCAAGAAGCTTAATGATCTCTTTTTTCACAACTTCCATCATTGGAGGGTTGAGTCGGTGTTGAGCCTCTCGAGTTGGTTTAGCCCCCTCCTCTAGAAGTATGCGATGCATGCATGTTGTAGGACTAAGTCCCTTGATGTCGGCTAAAGTCCATCCAATAGCTGTTTTGTACTCTTGCAACACCCGAACTAGTTTTTCCTCCTCCACTGCCGTGAGTGATGAAGAGATTATGACGGGCAAAGTCTCTTTATCTCCCAAGAAGACATACTTCAAATGATTCGGTAACGGTTTAAGCTCGAGAGTGGGTGCCTGAATCACCGAAGGTAACAACTTGTTAGTAGAAACGGGAATTGGGATTGGGATTGGAGACTTACCAACATATTGTGGCAGTGACTCAAGGGCAGCCACCATCTCGCCAATTTCTTCATGATTAGGTTTGGCCCCATTTTTGATGAGTTCAATTCCTTGAACAATGGTGGTTTCAAGGACATCCCTATCTAGGGATTCGAGATATTCCTGCGCCAAAGAATCAAATGCATCAATAGAGAAACAGGAGTGATCATCAATAGGGTACCTTATAGCTTCAGAAATATTGAAATCAATGATATTGCCATCAAATTCCATTGTCAACGTCCCCTTGAACACATCGATCTTGGTTCGGGCTGTTTTCATGAAAGGTCGTCCAAGTAAGATTGGCAATGGTGTAGAATGGGCCGAATCCTCCATCTCAAGCACATAAAAATCTGCTGGAAATATCAAGTGGTTAACCTGCACCAAAACACCTTCCAAAACTCCTTTCGGATATGCATTAGAACGATCGGCTAATTGAATTTAACGCCATCATTTTTAAGCTCTCCTAAGTTCATAGATGCATAAATAGAGTATGGCATGACATTAATGGAAGCACCTAAATCTAACATGGCATGTTCAAACTTGGTGTTACCAATAACACAAGGGATTGTGAAACTACCTGGATCTTTGCATTTAGGTGGCAGTTTTCGTTGCAAAACTGCGGAAACATTCTCACTTACCCTTACCACTTCTTTGTTTGAAATCCTCCTCCTTGTTGTACAAAGCTCTTTCAAGAATTTAGTGTACCTTGGAACTTGCTTTATTGCGTCAAGAAGTGGGATATTAACTTGTACCTTCCTGAAAGTCTCTAAGATGTCTTTTTCATTCTCTTCTTTCTTAGATTGCATAAACCTGCGAGGAAAAGGCACATTTGGTGGGATAGGGTTAGAATGCGTTGAATTTGGAACAACCTTACCTGAGTTTGGTTGTGTAGGAGCTTTGGGGGACTGTAGCAAGGGTTGTTCTGAAACGACCCGACCCAAATTCCACTTTGAGAATCGGGCCTAATCCTGTTTAAGACTGACACCTGGTAACTGTGGCTCGTAAAAGACCAAATACCCTGAACACAGTAACATAAATCCTGAGCCCCTAACTCGTGGCTGCGCCTGATAACTGTAGGCTGCCTACGTACCCTTGCTGAGGGATCAAGCCACACGTAGTTCTTTCCTCTGTTCTTGACCTGCAACTGGTTCGTTAATTTGTAACAGGTTTAATTATCCGTAAAACATACTCTAGGGTTGACATTTCTGGAGTATCCGGGACTCCGTTTTACGATCCGTCAAATACTATACGATCCTGAAAATACCTAGATCAACATACTTGAAATTGACTACGATCCAACGGTTCAAACGTATAGAACCCGGAAATCGCATACTAGGCGAGATCCGTTCGGGGTTCAAACGTTATCCGAATTAAGATCCGCGAAATCCTACGCGCTCGTGAGGACTGGAAGATCATTCTAGGACTGACTGTGGTCCCCACCCTGCTGCCCACGCACCGCCACATGCGCTGGCAGCGCGTGGTGCCTAAAGCGATAACGCCTCGCCGGAAAATCTCAACATCTCGGTTCAAGACTCCTATCCTAGGTAAAACACCCTATTTGGAACCACTTTTGTTCTTAGACCTACCCCAAAAAGTGGCCGGAAGTGGCCGGAACAGAGACCCGAAAGTCTGCTGAAACCTAACTTAAAAATTGAACGATCTACGCTTAAAATCTCTGAAATCCTACCCAACCAGCAGCTAGGTCATGGAAAATTGCTAGAAAACCATACCTCACTCGTCCGATTTGGTGACCGGACGACAGAGAACGAGAGCTCGAAACTTCTGTCAAAAACCGGCTGTTTTCGGGCTGTTTCTGGCGGCCGGAGCTGCTGCCGGGGGCTGGGATGCGGAGGAACTGAAGGATGGAGTGACGGCGGTCCTAGCCTGACCGGTCCCGTGGCCGGCCGTGGTATGTGGCGGTGCTGGTGGCTTGAAGAAGCCACGGCTGGAGGAGAGAAACCGGGGGGGGGGCTGGGTCGCAGAGGAGAGAGAGAGATCAGTTTTAAAACATCTGACCTGACAAATTACCATTTTGCCCCTAAACGTATTTTGACCGTATCTCCCTCAATACAACTCGGAATCGAGTGCACTGCATGTCTACGAACTCGTTTCGTCGCGCTCTACGCAATGGTAAAACTGAAAGCCCCAATTACTTCCCGGTCAAAAAGTCAACTTTTAAACTAATAAAATATTCTAGGGGTATTTTAGTCTTTTTCTCAAATAAATTAATAATTAAATATTAATTTTGGGTTTGGGTTATTACAATCTACCCCCCTTACAAAAATGTCGTCCTCGAAATTTTACTTACCCTTCACTGGAGGAGTGAGGGTACTGGACATACAACTGCTATTTGGGTTCTCAAGTCTGCTCTTCTAGTACTGCACTCACCACTTGCATCTCAATAACTGTATCTATAGGGCAATCAATAAAATCTGAAGGCCACATTTTTATATCTGAAAACCTGAGCTGGCTTAAGAAAATATAAAACTCTGAAAAGATCAGATAACTAACTGAATTTCTGATAAATTTAAAACTCTGCTGCCATGAATCTAATATTTAGCTAAAATCCCTGTTTCCCTCTGAGTGTCTGACATCTGGCTAATGCTGGACCACAAAAGACTAATTTGCCCTTTTTAACTGAAATTATTTGAAATCCAAGTGTGACTTCTACCGAAAATTCGGCAGAATCTCCCCTGTAAACTGAACATTCCCAAAAACATTCTACCTTTAAAATAAGCATGTATATTTATATAACTCATCTGCCAACATGCGTTAAATCATATCCAAGTAATCAAACATCATAATATTCAGGTCTCAGGTCGTAACAAACCAAATAAATCAATCTACTAATTAATCTCATTTTCCTATATCCAAACAGGATATCATACTTGGCAGCATATAGATCAATTATTTAAAAGCACTTATCAGTTTATAAATCACTCATATGTGAATAAAACTATGGGTGAATAAAACTTATTCAAGATCAAATACTGTAACTGAATTTCATAAATTCATTTATGAAAACAAACTCTGCTGCCATTAATCTAATATTTAGCTAGAATTTCCTTTTTCTGTATCCATGAAGGATATCCCACTCGGCAGCATATAATTTAGACAAAGAAATAAAAGCATTTATATCAAGTAATTATGCTTTCAAAACCATAATCAACAATTCCTCGTGACACCAAAGGTGACACATCCTGACCTGAAATCATCGTTGGACTCAGGAGACATCTGGTCAACCTGATCCGCAATCCTCGCTCCCACAGTTTGAATAACTCTGAGACTCATGGGGCAAAATATGCTAGAAATACTTGAGCTGCTTAATACCAGATTTAATAATAAAAAGATGAATATCAGCAACTTAAATAAAATAAAATAAGGTAAATTAAAGCAAACTTAATTAAAACAAAATAGACAAGCTCTTGTATTGAACTCATTAAAAATTCGTAAGTAACCATGTGTATATATATATTTCCATATAGTACTTGTGATGCTGAAATAAAATAATGATAACTGTATAAAATCCTTTAATTTAGTTTAAAAGCATCTCAAACTGAAATCCTCTCCACCTAGGTGTACCCCCATATTTGATCCGTCAATTCCTGATATTCCGTCAATTCCTGATATCCCGTCAATTCCTGATATCCGTCAATTCCCCTCGCATCACCATTGGTGACACGTCCTCGCAGGTCTCGGTGACACAAAGTCAATCCGAGCTGCAACCTCGCAGGATTCAGGGGACCTTGGTCAACCTGATCCGCGTCCTGGCAGGTCTCAGGGGGCCAGCCTGAGCCGCAATCCTGGCAGGTCTCTGGGGGCCATTAGCCAGCCTGAGCCGCTATCCTCGCCACACGGTTCGAGCGTCCCCGAAACTCGTGGGGCAATATCATAACAACTGTAAACTAGCACCACACGGTTCAGGCGTCCCCGAAACTCGTGGGGCAAAATAGCCAACTGTCTCAAGGCAACTGGGGGGTACGCTGTGGTGGGTTTGAAAACCATAAGCTGTTATTTACATAAACTTTTAATAAACTAGTTTTCCACTGAACATAAAATATATCCATATATATATATACACACACCAAAATCTGATGAAAACCAAAAATAAAATTTCTTCCTTTTCAACCTCTGAATATATGCCTCAACTACTTAGCTAGTTGGTTAGCCACCTTACTCTCTACTGAGCATATAATTCCAATAATAAATTTATACCCTTACAACACAATTAATCATATGACCAAATATACATAGGTGATGAATAAACCGATAATTAAATACTGCTCTTGCTAAACCTCAGTTCTCGACATATAAGCATATAATAACATGTATAACAAGTTTCTCAAATGAAAACCTCAACAAATTTTTCAAATCCTTCTGGATATCTGTTTTCTCCGTCACACCAATGCAATAAATAAAATAACATAATAAAATAACAATTGAAATAACAATTGGAATAAAACAACCTAATTATTGTCCAGCAATTCTGAAAATACGGATGCACATGTAATGCAGTGTCTACAGGAAGTAAACCAGGCTCTGATACCAATTGAAATGACCCGACCCAAATTCCACTTTGAGAATCGGGCCTAATCCTGTTTAAGACTGACACCTGGTAACTGTGGGTCGTAAAAGACCAAATACCCTGAAAACAGTAACATAAATCCTGAGCCCCTAACTCGTGGCTGCGCCTGATAACTGTAGGCTGCCTACGTACCCTTACTGAAGGATCAAGCCACACGTAGTTCTTTCCTCTGTTCTTGACCTGCAACTGGTTCGTTAATTTGTAACAGGTTTAATTATCCGTAAAACATACTCTAGGGTTGACATTTCTGGAGTATCCGGGACTCCGTTTTACGATCCGTCAAATACTATACAATCCTGGAAATACCTAGATCAACATACTTGAAATTGACTACGATCCAACGGTTCAAACGTATAGAACCCGGAAATCGCATACTAGGCGAGATCCGTTCGGGGTTCAAACGTTATCCGAATTAAGATCCGCGAAATCCTACTCGCTCGTGAGGACTGGGAGATCATTCTAGGACTGACTATGGTCCCCACCCTGCTGCCCACGCACCGCCACACGCGCTGGCAGCGATAACGCCTCACCGGAAAATCTCAACATCTCGGTTCAAGACTCCTATCCTAGGTAAAACACCCTATTTGGAACCACTTTTGTTCTTAGACCTACCCCAAAAAGTGGCCGGAAGTGGCCGGAACAGAGACCCGAAAGTTTGCTGAAACCTAACTTAAAAATTGAACGATCTACGCTTAAAATCTCTGAAATCCTACCCAACCAGCAGCTAGATCATGGAAAATTGCTAGAAAACCATACCTCACTCGTCCGATTTGGTGACCGGACGACAGAGAACGAGAGCTCGAAAGTTCTGTCAAAAACCGGCTGTTTCCGGCGGCCGGAGCTGTTGCCGGGGGCTGGGATGCGGAGGAACTGAAGGATGGGGTGACGGCGGTCCTAGCCTGACCGGTCCCGTGGCCGGCCGTGGTATGTGGCTGGTGCTTGAAGTGGCCATGGCTGAGGAGGAAGCCAGGGAGAGAAGGAGGAGGGGGGGGGGGGGGGGGGGGGGGGGGGGGGGGGTCGGGTCAGAGGAGAGAGAGATCAGTTTTAAAACATCTGACCTGACAAATTACCATTTTGCCCCTAAACGTATTTTGACCGTATCTCCCTCAATACAACTCGGAATCGAGTGCACTGCATGTCTACGAACTCGTTTCGTCACGCTCTACGCAATGGTAAAACTGAAAGCCCCAATTACTTCCCGGTCAAAAAGTCAACTTTTAAACTAATAAAATATTCTAGGGGTATTTTAGTCTTTTTCTCAAATAAATTAATAATTAAAAATTAATTTTGGGTTTGGGTTATTACATGTTCCTCCCTTGCCGTGGCTTTGTCCACCTCCTCCTCTTTGAGCAACAACTTTTCGTTCTCTTTTGGGCTTTGTTTGGACATTTTGGGATTGGTTCCAATCTCTTTACCACTCCTCAAGATGATAGCTTTAGCCGTTTCAAAACCTCCTTTTGGATTGACAATGGTTGAGCTAGGTAGTTTGCCTTCTTCTCTAAACTGTCCCATGAACTCCGCCATCTGCCCAATTTGCTTCTTCACTTCGCTCATCTCTTTGGCTTGATTTTGTAAACCCTGAGTCAAAGAAGTTAGTACTTTAAGCATTTGATCATTATCCAATGGCGAACCTGAATTTGATTGGGCAGTTTGTGGTTGAGGTTGTGCTGGTGCAAACGGCCTTTGATAGAGCCCCAGAGGTGGCTGTCTATATCCGCCTTGTTGTTGTTGAGGCTCCCTCCACTTCAAATTTGGATGATCTCTCCAGCCCAGATTGTAGGTGTTTGAAAATGGGTCATACCTAGGTTGATTTTGGCCTTGATAACCTACGGCATTGGCACTTTCCCATCCCCCATTCTCTATTAATTGAGGACATTGATCAGTGGGGTGCCCATGCATAGAGCACACGCTACAAGTGGTTGTACTTTGCACTTTGGATCCTTCAACAACCTGCGAAATAAGAGTAGAGAGATTAGCCATTTGAGATTGAAGTTCCGAAATAGCACTTACCTCATTAACTGGACTTGGCCGTGTATGATCTCTCCCTCCAACTCCTTCGTATTGTTGTGCATTCAAAGCTCGGTTTGCTATTAAGATCTTTGCAGCAACTGGTGTTTTGTCAACCAAAGCACCTCCCGCTGAAGCATCAAGCATTTGTCTCTCCAGTGGAAGTAGTCCTTCATAGAAATATTGAATTAAAAGCTCTTCCTTCATTTGATGTTGTGGGCAGGATGCAACTAACGTCTTAAAACGCTCATAGTACCCTGGAAAGGATTCTCCCGGGCCTTGTTGAATTCCACTAATTTTCTTCCTCAAAAGAATGACTCTTGAAGTTGGGAAGAATTTCTCTAAGAATGCTTTCTTCATACTTTCCCAAGAAGTAACGGTTCCAGGTGCTAGTTCATAGAGCCAATCTTTAGCCTTGTCCATAAGAGAGAATGGGAAGGCTTTCATCTTCAAAATATTCCCATCCACGTTAATGGGTGTCATGCTTGAACATACTACTTCAAATTCCTTCAAATGCTTGTTTGGATCTTCCATGGACAGCCCATGGTATTTGGGAATGTGATGTAGCAAACTCGACTTCAATTCAAACTCATCGGTCTTACCTACAGCTGCCCTAGGGTATTGAATGCAAAGAGGGACTGCAGTGTCCAATCCAGAGGCTGAAAGTTCCTTGATTGTTCGATTGTCTACAGCCATGTCTTGTTCCTCTTCAAAGTCCGTTTCAGCTTCAGATTCAGGTTTGGAACTAGAACTAGAGGGATTGAGTTCTGGCTGCTTCCTCTTCCTTCTCAAAGTTCGTTCGAAATCGTCGTCAAAGTCCAATATGTGCGCATGAACAGGGTGTGAACTTCGAGTCATAAACTAGTACCTAAAACAAAGAAAACAAAATAAAATCAGATACACAAGAAAAACGAAAACAAACGGAAGATTAGCAATTTTGCTAATCCCCGGCAACGGCGCCAAAATTTGGCGTGAGAAATAACTAACGCACAAATTAAACCCTATAAATCATGCAATCGTAGTACGAGTAAGTAGGGATCGTTCTATTCCGGGGATTAGGAGGGATGCTAATCAACACAAATTAAACTTATTAAACTGGAAACTAAGTTAAGGGAACAATGATTGGGGGGAATTTTGACGATTTAGACTAAAGTAAGACTGACAGCAGCAAACAACTAAGTTGTGAATGAAATATGGATTAAGGGATAGCTAGAGGATTCTTCTCCACACATGGAACATATGCACACAAATCGATCTCCAGTTACTCTTTCTATAAAGTATGAATGACAAAGCCCCAAATTAATTGTGAATGCACTAATTAACTCTCAGATTTTCCTAAGTTCATTGAATTGGACTCAGCGACGCAATCAAATTATCCTTATCAAGTTCCCTATATGAACAGCATGATAGAGATACATATCAAAGATCATTAAGTTCTATGAAAATCATAAGCCTTGACAAGACAATTGTAACTATGAAAAGCATGATACTCCTGCCAAGAATTTACTTAACACAATCATGACTAGTGACTTTTACTACTTGTGAATATAAGTTCATAACGATTAGGTGAAATTCCCTTATATTCTAGCATCAAATCCCTGCATACAAACTAAGTATGCATCCTTAATAAACATGCAAGAATAAGTCCTCAATAAAACAGAAAAGTAAATCACATTCATACTTTATGAAACCATAACTGGAAGTAATCAATTCATGTAAAACATATGTCCATGGCTTCGAATTCACCTCTAACTAAGAAGAAATTCAGTTACACATGTTCATAATAATTGAAAAGCAATATAGAATAAACATTTGAACTAATCAAGGGAAGAACTTTGAAAAACCCAATGGATGCAGCAGGTTCCGGCTCCAAGTTCTTCTTCTCCCTTTCTCCTTTCTTGCTACGGCACCAAAAGAACTCCCTTCTCCTGCGGCAACCCCTCCTTTATATATGTGGTAGATCTAGGGTAAAAGGGCCCAGCAGAAACCCACGAAATTAGGGTTTTGTTTGGAAGATTTCTTTAGGAATAATAGGGCCCAATAGAAACCCACGAAATTAGGGTTTTTAGGTTTCCCTAATCTGAAATTAATCCCCCCCTTTTACAGCTGGAATTTAGGTCGAATAGGATTAGGATAAGGTAAAATAAAATAAAATCAGTTAGGGTTTTTTACTTCCCAGAAGCTGATTCTTGAATTAATTTCCCCATCTTTTTAGCACATTCCTAGCCTCTTCGAACTTCAAAAACGTCCATTCATCTTGGCCCATGCATATGCTACCCATTCCAAGTCCAAAACTGCTCTAAAATGCTCCAAAATGCCATTTCTTGCCAATCTTGCCATCTGGACCTACAATAGTACGAAAATAAGCTAAATCACTCTAATAAATGGGAATTAACTAAGTAAATGCAAAGAAATAAGATACCAAAGTCGCATAAATATGCTCCTATCAGCTGCTTTTGGTATGTGGGCTCCACAAAATGTGGATCCAGGCAATGGGAGGGGCACTATTCTTCCTGGGTTTTGCTTGGATTGATTTTGTTGCTCCTTTGTATACATGGTTGGAGAATGATTTCAGGCTAAAATGTCAAATATTAGGTTTAACCCCTCCCATTGGAGATGGCTTTAAGTAACAAGGTTGGGTATTGGAATTTTTTTATAGGCCATGTTTGTATTTGGTATCAACAAACTATGATAAGTAACTACGTAAAATCATTTACAAAAAGATAGGGAAAATATGAACCTATCAATTCTCGTGCAATTATTATCAGAAAGGTTGTTCCAACTCAAACTAGCCAAACTCATAAATGTGTGGAAAAATATCTATGCAAGTTTCAATTAAGAATGGTTGACGCACAAGAAGTCCAAGTTTAGCTACCTTGAAAAACACATCAATCTCTACGGAAGAAACTAATAATGTTTGATTTCACTAATCTCTATAAAAAGATATTGATTGGCTACTACTAGTCAAATTGGATCTTTTATAAGGCTTGACATGTTAACCACTTTATTTTAGCATAGTTCATTCTTTCGTGTCTAATCAGGAGCCTTTGAATGACCTTAATCATACCTTTGCTGTACTTATTCCACAAAATAATTATTAAGAAAAGGTTCAACACTGTCGGTCTATTAGTCTTTGTAATGTTATAAAAATTCTTACTAAAATTCTTATAAACATATGAAAGCCACTTCTTTATAAATGTATTTCTCAAAATCATGATGCTTTTGTACTAGCAGTGGCAGATTTAGGAATTTTTAAGAAGAGGGGCAGTATTTAAAAGGCTAAAAGCTATATATATATATATATATATATATATCTTTTCAGAGAACTACATATCCTTAGAATTTAAACAATAGTAATTCGGTAAAATCTCATTAAGGCATTTAGTCGAACACATAGTTGTAGGCAAGGACACATAGATAAGTTATTTGTAGGCTGATGTTTATATGATACCATAAGAACAGTTTAATAAAGCGAGCTCATTTTCTGTCGTTTTTCCTTAGAATCCACTAAAACATGGAGCCCACATAATGGACATGAAACTCAATGTTTCACTAAAGAGGCCATGTGTTGTAAAAATAAAATAATTAGAGTATGGGAAGTACCACTGAATATTGGGAGTAGAATTATATTTTCTCTTTGTGGTGTTTACACTGGCAGAATTTCTTCTCAGATAGAACTCACTGACCCTCATATTTCTCACTCTCTCTTCTTTCTTCTCACTCTTCCTTTCTTCTCTTCTCTTATCCGTTGGTGTGTCTTTGCAAGTAAAAAGGATGCCTATTTATAGGCAAAGCAAATGGCACCCGTGAGTGATAAGAGAGACATCATGATGCTTCTATCCAACATTATTATTAACATTTTGACTAATATCTCCTTCTTTTCTTCATGTGGGATTCACCATTTTCCTTTACAACACTCCCCCTTGGAGGCCACATGTCCCTAGATTGGTTGCCTCATTAAAACCTTGCTTGGAAAAACCCAGTGGGAAAAAACCTAAGCAAAGGAAAAGAGTACAACTTTATTTGGCACATAAGGGTAATGTTAAATGCACTCATGTGGCCTCGTTAAAACCTTGCTAGGAAAAACCCTAGTCGAAGGAAAAATAGTACAACGCACATATGTCCTATGTTAGAGGACTCTTGAATGCTCCCCTTGATTTTGCATGCTCCAATTTGATTGCTTGCAGAGTTGTCGTAATCTCATGCCATGCACTAACTTTTGGAATGTACATTTTGGCAAAGGTTTGGTGAAGAGATCTGCCAAGTTATCGCTTGAACGGATTTGTCTGACTTTAATTTCTTGACTCTTTTGAAACTCATGCATGTAGAAAAACTTTGGTGATATGTGCTTGGTCTTGTCACCCTTGATGTATCCTCATGTGATCTAAGCAATACAAGCTGCATTTTCTTCATTCAGGATTGTTGGAGTGTCCGTTGCTGAGGGTAGGGCACATGTGCTTTGGATGTGATGGATCACCGACCTTAACCAAACGCATTCACGACTGGCTTCATGTGGCTACCAATGTTTGTTTCGTTGAGTGCCATAAGATTGCAGTTCCTCCACATGTAAACACATACCCAAGTTTGTGAGCTTCCATGATGTGGATCAGAGAGATATCTTGCATCAGCATATCCAACAATACTCGGGGCATTGGTCGATTCACTGGAATAGAATAAGCCCATGTCTGTTGTCCCACGAAGATATCGTAGAATATGTTTGATGCCGGTCCAATGTCGACTTGTTAGAGCAGAGTTGTATCTTGCTAACATTTACTAAAAATGCTATGTCAGGTATGGTACATTGTGCTAAGTACAATAAAGCACCTATTGCACTAAGATATGGTACTTCTGGACCAAGGAGCATTTCATCATCTCCTTTTGGACGATATGGATCTTTCTTAGTGTCAAGCGACCGAGCGACCATTGGAGTGCTAAGTGGATGGGCTTTATGCATGCCAAACTGCTTCCATACCTTTTCAGTATAAGTTGATTGATGCACCAAAATCCCATTAGCACTATGCTCAATCTGTAAGCCAAGACAATATTTTGTCTTTCCAAGGTTTTTCATCTCAAACTCGCGTTTGAGATAATCAGCAGTCTTTTAAAGCTCTTTAGGAGTTCCAATTAGATTCATGTCGTCGACATATACTGCCACTATCGCAAATCCAAAGTCTGATTTCTTAACAAACACACATGGGCAAATAGGATTATTTGTGTATCCTTCCTTTAGTAAATACTTATTGACACAATTGTACCACATTTGCCCAGATTGTTTTAGCCCATACAATGATCTTCTCAATTTAATTGAGAACATGCCTCATGGTTTATTCCTGCCTGCTTCAGGCAGCTTAAGTCCTTCTAGGACTTTCATGTATATATCTGTATCCAATTCTCCATATAGATATGCGGTAATGACATCCATAAGTCTCATTTCAAGTTTTTCTAAAACCACCAAGCTTATCAAGTAACGGAACGGAATTACGTCCATTACTGGAGAGTATGTTTCCACATAATCAATTCCAGGTCTTTGTGAGACACCTTGCGCAACAAGTCGCACTTTATACCTTGCGATTTCATTTTTCTCATTGCACTTTCTTGTAAATACCCACTTGCAACCTACAGGATTCACATTGGGTGGAGTTGGAACGATGGGTCCAAAAACACTTCTTGTTTCCAAAGAATTCAATTTTGCCTAGATTGCATCTTTCCACTTAGGCCAATCCTGTCTCTGTGTGCATTCATCAATGGAGCAAGACTCAATATCATCATCTTTTTTTATCTCAGTAGCCACTGAGAATGCAAATATATCATTGATGATCATCTCGTTTCTATTGCACAATTCATCAATAAACGTATAATTTAAGGAGATTTCTTGACTTTTAGGTACAACTGTTAGTTCAGAGGCGCTTGTCTCACCAATGACGTTTGCCCCTTTGTAGGCATTTGAATTATGAATTGTAGGCTCTCCATTTATTTCATTTGGATTCATTTTGACCATCGACTTCCTCTTTTGAGGGACTGAGTCCTTTGAGCCTAATGGTCTACCACGCTTCAGGCGTGCAATAGATGAATCATTTGCTGGCACATTGTTTTGTCTTTTTTGGACATCAATCCTTGCATGTGCATTTGCAACTGGGATATGTGATTTTGTCACATTTGTTGCATCATTGAATGCATCTAGCATCTGATTTGCAATACTTTGGAGGTGAACAATCCTTCTCACTTCGTTTTCGCATTGAGCGGTACGAGGATCGAGATGAGACAAAGTGGGTACATCTCACGATAATTCACGTAATTCTTCAGGAACGAGTTTGCCTTGTTGTTCTTTAGGAACAGATTTTTCTCCCCCTAATAGTGGGAAAATTATCTCATCAAAATGAGAATCCGCAAACTGTGCGGTAAAGATATTACCTATCAGGGGCTCCAGATATCTGATGATAGATGGTGAATCAAAACCAACATAAATTCCCAATCTGCGTTAAGGGCCCATCTTAGTACGTTGCGGTGGTGTAATGGGCACATATACCGCACAACCAAAAACTTTTAAATGTGAAATGTTTGGTTGATTACCTAACACTAGTTGTATTGGAGAATATTGATTGTTGGCAACGAGCCTCAACCGCACAAGTGATGCTGCATGTAAAATGACATATCCCCAAGCAGAAATTGGCAACTTTGTTTTCATTAACAAAGTGCGTGCTATCAATTGAAGACGCTTAATTAAAGCTTCTACCAAGCCATTTTGAGTATGAACATGAGGAACAGGATGTTCAATGTCAATGCCTAGTGACATGCAGTAATCATCAAAAGTCTGAGATGCAAATTCACAAGCATTATCGAGTTTGATTGACTTAATGGGATAATATGGGAATTGGGCTCGTAATTTAATTATTTGAGCCAAGAGCCTAGCAAATGCCATATTCCGAGTGGACAAAAGGCAAACATGCAACAATCTGGTAGATGCAGCCACCAATACTATAAAGTACTAAAATGGTCCACATGGAGGATGAATAGGCCCACAAATGTTCCCTTGGATTCTCTGTAAAAATGATGGGGACTCAACATCAACCTTTGGTTGTGATGGTCTGATCACCAACTTCCCTTGTGAACAAGCTTGGCAAGAGCTTTCACTTGATACCATAATATGTTTTGTCAACAAGGGATGTCCTTTAGAGTTGGTGATGATCCTACGCATCATGGTGGATCCAAGATGACCCAACCGGTCATGCCAAAGCTTAAAAGTACTTGAGTCAATGGACTTCTGGTCCATGACACTATGTGCCTCAATTGTCTGTATGGTTGTATAGTACAACCCTAATGAGAGTGCACAAAGCTTCTCTAGTGTACGCTTATGGGTATCGCTAGAGGTAATGCAAAGATATTCCATATTTTCCTCATTCTTTGTTTCAACATGGTAGCCATTCAAATGTATATCTTTGAAACTCAACAGATTTCTTCTGGAGTTAGATGAATATAAGGCATCTTGAATGGACAGTATTGTTCCATTTGGTAACATGACTTAGGCTGTTCCTGAGCCTTCAACCAGATCTGCAGGACTTGATATGGTTGTTACCTTTGCTTTTGTAAGCATCAAGTTTGAGAAATACTTTCGATCTCAAAGGATTGTGTGAGTAGTCACACTGTCTGCGAGACAAATATCTTTGCTATAGCTCTTGTTTTGGGGACATCCATAATTTATATCCATGCCTTCAAATAAATAAAATAAGCTGAATCAATAAACAATTATTCAATGTAAAGAAAACATTGCCACTTTTATTGGATTGAAATGAAAATTAAAGACAGTACTTCAGATAATACAAATGGTACATTGAGGAATTTAATCTAATTCAGACCCATAAACTCCATTCCTTCTTTCAGTCGCAAAATCAGAAACTTCCACATGCGTCTTGTCTAACTGATGTGATATTTATGATGGGCCATCTATGGTTGGCGGATTTGGTATAGCATGCAATGTAATTTGTCTCCATTTTTCTGTTCTTAAGTAAAGCTTGGTAGAGATCCGCCAAATGCTTCGACGTACGGCATTTACACTCCCAATGTCCCTTTGCACCACATATGTGACAAATGCTTTCAACATTTCTAGGTACATGGCTTATCTGTGCCTTCCCCTTATTCCGGGATGCATTTTTTGCCATTCGTGGATAGATTGTTCCTTGGACCTAAGCCATATGAATGAGCACCACGATCTTTTCTACTCCCTTGCTAGGGGCCATGCTTACCTCCCTGCCCACGTATGTGGATACTGCCACGAGATGAGGTGGCATTCACTTCCTGAGATGCAGCATTTACTTCGTGAATTGATGCTGAGCCCGTTGGGCGAGATTGGTGATTCTTCAATAAAAGCTCATTATTCTGCTCAGCTAACAAAAGGTAAGATACAAGTTTTGAGTACTTCGTGAACCCACTATGCCTATATTGCTACTGCAGGAGGACATTTGAGGCATGAAAGGTACTAAGTTTTTTCGAGCATATCCTCCTCAGAGATATTTTCACCACATAACTTCATCAAAGAGGTGATTCTGTGCATAGCTGAGTTGTACTTAGACACTGTCTTGAAATCTTGACATCTCAAGTGTGTCCATTCGTATCTGGCTCTTGGGATGTATATTTCACATAGAGCTTTCCATAGAACTAACGGTTCATCAACCACCACATATTTGCTTTTTAGCGCTTCATGAATGTGGCGGCGAAGGAAAATCATGGCCTTTGCGTTTTCTTTAGGCGAAGCATCACTCCCATCTACAATTATTTTTCCAAGGCCATTGGCACGTAGATGGATCTTGGCATCCATGACCTATGATAGATAGTTGTCTTAAAAAATGTCCAAGGCAGCAAATTCCAACTTTGCCAAGTTTGCCATCTTCAAAAAAAAGAAGATAAAAGATACATTAGAATTTGCAATAATCTTTAGACTTAATATATTTTTGAACTTTAGGACAAAAATATCTTGCATATTTTACCCAAAACTTTAGGCTCGGGATCTGGGACATTAAGCAATTTATTAATAGGAACTTTAGGCCCTATAATTGTTTGAGGAACTTCAGGCCCTCATTATTCATGTATATTAGTTGATGATAAAAATAAAGTGCTGTAAATTTGCTGGTATGGACGATAAACCCGCACCATACTTTAAATGAAAGTAAATGTGCGATAAAGTAAATTCATAAAGTAAATTGCTTGTTATATGGACCAAGGGCGGAACCAAGAATTTTTCAGGTGGGCTAGCTAAAAAGATAAAGTTATTTTATGTTTATTTGATTTAGTTATTTAATTTTTTTTTTTTTTTTTTTTTTTTTTTTTACAATTTCTATAGTCTTTCTAGAAATAAAAGTAAACATTAAATCATATAAACCAAGCTAGTTCATAGCTCCATAGACTAATTTTCAATAAGTTTTAACACAAACCAAATAGGGTTTAACACGATAGTGGATTGAACATCTAAGGTTTTTTACCTAGATTGACCTTAGGTTCTTTCATGCATTCATATTATAGATGAAAAGTTATTTTATGTAAAAATATTAACTAAGTATGAAAAATGGGTTTTCGAAATAATTATTTTCTCAAGATAATTTTTGGCGGCTTTTAATCCTCACACATCAAATAAGAAAACTTGATTTTATGGGATTTTAGTATGAAGTATATATTGACTTAATGAGCCATCATTTTTAGCCTAAATCGTATTTGGCACTAAAACCGATTTTTCATATTTTGATTTGATGGGAATTTGATTTTCTAGTATTTTTATTTGAATCCAAATGGGGGTTACTTCCTTATTTACATTGTAAATTTTAAGTAAATGGAGTAATATAAAAATAAATAAAAGTAAAATGATAAAGACATTTACTTAAATGTTGAAAATGGAAATAAGGTAATCTGTACAGCACCACTGACTGGGCTAATATTAAAAATAAGTTAAATATATAAGTTTTATATTTTTTTTTCTTAAAAAACCATACTGGGCTACAGCCCACTGTAGCCCTCAGTGTGGTTCATGGACGTTAATTCCGCACCATACCTTAAATAAAAGTAAATGTGCAGTAAAGTAAATTCACAAAGTAAATTGCTTGCTATATGGACATTAATTCTGCACCATACATTAAATAAAAGTAAATGTGGTTGTGTGGACGATAAACCTGTGTCACACTTATAAATATTGTTGTATGGGCAATAAACCTACACCGTACAGTAAATAAAGTAAATGCGGGGATAAAACCACCACCTAATATATATGAAGTATATAACATATTATATATCGTGGGCAATATAACTGCACCACTATTCAAGATATAATAAGATGGGTTTTAAGATCACACCATCATTTTATTACGATAATATGTGTTACAACGCAATGGGTAATGAAAATTACACCACCATAAAATAACAGGATGGGGTATAAAACCGCACTATTACAAATTACATTACAAATAAATAAATTAAACAAACATGGATGAAACAATATAAAAATTGTGAGAACACAAAAAAGAAAGTTTGCATGTCGTCGTAGTAGTAAAGTGAGAGGAGGCACATGACAGAGAGGAGACAGAGAAATAACCATGTAGTGTTGAGTTAGGAAAATTTAGAAGTAAAGAGGAGAGATTATTGTGCTGATAACGTGTTATAAAAATAAAATAATCAAAGTATGGGAAGTACCATTGAATATTGGGAGTAGAATTATATTTTCTCTTTGTGGTGTTTACACTAACAGAATTTCTTCTCAAATAGAACTCATTGACCCTCAGATTTCTCACTCTCTCTTCTTTCCTCTCACTCTTCCTTTCTTCTCTTCTCTTCTCCGTTGATGTGTCTTTGCAAGTAGAAAGGATGCCTATTTATAGGCAAAGCAAATGGCACCCGTGAGTGATAAGAGAGACATCATGATGCTTTTATCCAACATCATTATTAACCTTTTGACTAATATCTCCTTCTTTTCTTCATGTGGGCTTCACCATTTTCCTTTACAACAGACCAAACATAATTTCTCATTTGTTAGGGCACCAATGCACGCTCAACTTCTTCGCTAAAGACAATGCCGCCTCTACAACTTATCTCCTCTTCTTCGTTAATTGTTAAGGCCAACAAAGGGGCAAGTTCCGATATCTCCAATGAATTTTCCGACGAGGGAAGGTGCATCTGCACCTCCTTACGGCTTTATGGATCCGCCAATGCGTACCAAGTCGTCTTCTTGAGGATAATATCCTTATAAGTCATGAATTGCTTTCTTCTTTCTCAAGGAATAGTCGTAACAAAAATGTATGGCTATAAAATTAGATTTGGAAAAGGCTAATAATAGAATTGATTGGAATTATTTACGTCTTTGTTTATCTTTGGTTTTCATCCTACTTGGATCAATTGGATTTTAAAATGTATTTCTTCTATTACTTTCTTTATTTTAATGGAAAGCCAAAATGTTTTTCTCCCTACCTCATAGTTTAAGACAATGTGATCCTTTGTTCCCTTATTTACTTAGGGAGCATTTTTGCTCACCACTTTAACTTAAGGTATATGCTCATCATCCTTCTTATTACTTAACACGTGTTCATAAGCATAACTACGATTACATAAATCGAAATTTCCACTTAACACGTGTCCCAACTTTAAATTATATCTAAATAGTCGTCATTTCTAAAATTCCAAGATGATAAACTTTAAATTCCATGTTTAAATCCATTTACTAAACAAGAAACTTTACAAATTCTAGAACATTAATTTCCGTTATTTTATATTCTATTATTTATGAATTCCTTAATACTTTTAAATTTCCTCATCCAAACACACTGGTGAATTTCTAATGGGTTTAAATAATTGTATGGCTGCAATATTTTAAAAGGTTAGATTGTCTCTAAGGTGCACGAATGGAATATTATATTTTAAAAATAAAAATTAAAAGAACAAGAGAGAAATCTTTATCATATCTTGCACAATCGTTTTGGTTCAGGAACTTATGGTGTGTTGTAGTCTTCGCCCCCAAAAAAATCATACCTTAATATGGTATTTCGACTCTCAAAGACAGTGATATTATCTTACATACTCGCGTTGATTGAAGAACTACAAAATGTGGACATAAAACACCATTATCTTATCAGCTGGATACAAAAGCTAGAAGGATACATGACATACTCAGCTCACTTAGGAGGGGAAGAAACTCAGCTCAAAATTTGTACGAAAAATGAATCGTTATTCAATAGGGCTCCTCTTTTTCCCTTTAAGCTCATTCCCAGATGATAATGGACCGTACAAACCAAGACGCAAGGAACCTTGGAGTAGACGATCATGAAAATAGCTCTTATACAAGTCCCAGAATTCATCTCTGCCAAATAAAATGAATGTGAGGCATAAAGTTGACAGTTTATCCATTCAAAATACGGCACAAAGACATAAAAAAAGAGAGGAAACAATTAGAAGCTTCTCTATGCTTTTGGAACTATCACAGCTCATTCTGACCAGTGTACTTGGAGAAAAAGCAAAAACGACGATTAATATATAATTTTTTAAAACTCCATTAATCATTCAACATCAACATGGATTTGAGCATAATATGATTGCAAAGAATTTATTGAGAAATAATGTATAAGCCCTAGGGAAGGTTCGTCACTTCAGCCTGTCATTAGCGCTAACGAGGGAGGGTTGTATTTGTGTATTGTTTAAGAAGGGGGAAAAAACAGATAAAAGCAGTACGCACCAAAACCAAGACAAAGCAAATGGTAAACTGGCAAGAGATAACTCATCATCTTACCTGACTTGTGGAAGCGTAAAGAGGGAATACCCCTTGACATCTGGGTGCATGTCAAGTACAATCACTGATAACCGAGACAGCCCCAATGCCTCAATGTCAATTAGCTTCTTTATCCTGGAAGAGATGAGTTAAATACAGAACAAAATCATTCAATTCAAACAAACAAACTTATACAGACAGGAAAAATAAAGGACAGCCATATGACACTGCAAGTCTGCAACCTTGTGAACTCAAAATGAATTAAAAGTGAAACAAAGCATGAGCAAAAAAAAAGTAGAAGTTTGTCCTAAATTTTCCTCATCTTTTTGCAATAAAGCAAAATATAATTTTAGCATCCAACAACCTCAAAAAAAGTAACCATATAGTACAGAAATCAAGTGTTAAGAAGTCTCAGTCCTGCCATAAAGAACCATAATAATTGTAGACTCTCTTTTTTCCTAATTTTTTCCCCATATAATGTAGGGTAGCGGAAAAATCCTAAAATTGTCTTTCTCTAAACTTCATTTACCCAGAATGGGAAGATTTAGGGAGTCAGTAGAATACGAAATGGTTTCTAGGAAACTATGGGACTCAGATTAGGGCAAAGGCTACCATGACTCAAAGGTGAGTATGATGTAATTTTTAATCAACAATATTCGTTCACTATACAAATAAAAGATAAACCCTTGGAAAATAATTAACCATAGCTCTTGGAGTCAAAACATTTATAGAAACCCTAAAAGATAATTAGAACCATCAAGGGCACACTCCATGGGACCAAGAAATCTTATATGATGCATAATCTTGCCCATAACTCATAAGGGATATTTTCCTTTAAACAAGCTAAGGCTGCTACATCAATAGGTTTAAAAATGAAATCTCAGTCATTACTAATTGGCTGCGTAGGCAGTTATGTTGACTTCACAATTCATAATTAAATTATAAAATTTTCATGCTATACCATGTCCTCTTGGTGGCTTGGCCCTTTAATTTTTTCTGTTCCAAATCATATCTTTATCAATTAACATGTAGAAGTCATCATATAACAAATTATTTTATAACTTATATGCATAGCCCAAACTACACAACTAACACCAAATAATAAAACATCCCCACGTTAGTTAAAGAACAGAATAACATTGCACCGTGCTTGTTGAATTGATATACCCTAAAAATAGCATACAAGTACAAGCAGCAATTGAAGGGTAACGTAAGTAAAGAAATGGTTATTGGATTTACAGAAGATTATGATGACTACCTGTTTGGCGTACCACTAGCGATATTAACGCGGTTCTTTAACAAGGATACCTGCATAAAGAATAAAGGGGATTAAAGAGAAGGTAAACATGTATATGATAAAATAAAGCTAATAGGCTAAGAAGAGAGATGAACATTTCCCAAACTCCACAACCAGCACAATTTTTTTTATAGTAGATAAACATTGTACATACGCTCAACATGCTGTATTATAAGTTTTATAACCAAAGAGATTCTAGTGAGCCTAGTAAACAGTAATAAATGTATGCAGCATTCCTCGTCACTTTGACAGATATAATGCACATAGGAATGCCCAACATCTTGGAGAAATAAGTAAGGTACCTGTTCTTCAACCTTCATATGCTTAGAGAACAGCTTTGCTGCATGGCATTCTTTAGTCAACGACCGCAAGCCCCTGTCGGAAGAGAATACATTGTTGAGATTGAGATGCATGTACCAATTATGCAAATGTCTAGTGTTAACGAGACATTTCTGCTGAACATTAATTTTAAGGGGTTTAGCAATATCAAGTGTGCAAATGGTTCAAGTTATGGTACTGCTAGAATGAAAAAGTTACGTAATTCACCTTAGAAGTTCTATTGACCTCAGGGCAGATGTACTAATAATAAGAATTGCCGGACTCCCAGGATCAATTTTTCCATCCAAGAGATGCTTTTCACAAAGTTCTTCTTTCCATGATGGACCAAAAGCTGCCATCACATGCTTCCCCAAGAGGCTGACATCTTGATCCAAGCTTTCAGACAGATCCAGAATACACTTGTCTGCAAAATTTTATAGATTAGAAAAATAGATTTTTGATCTTTCATCAGGCGAGGGCTTTTTATTTTTATTTTTTATAACTTTGCATGACTGCTTCAAAGTAATCCTAATCCATAGCATTCCACAGATGCAAAAGTTTGATGCTGAATAGAAAGTCAATGCCAATACTAAACTAACTTGACTGGATTTTGAAAGGTAGCTTCTACTAATGGCACAAATAGGTCGAACTACCACATCTTATCCTTGATTTTTGGCATAGTTGAATCATTTACCTGCCCTTAGGAAGAAAACTTTATCCTCTCATCTGATTGGAATTTTCAGGGGGGAATAACTCCCAGAGAAAGAAGTTACAGTAATTACAAATTTTCCATCTCATCTGCTATGTGTTTGCTTAAAATGCAAGTTCAAAAACCTTGATTACCTCACATTTTTGTCTGAAGAATATAAATTTGAAAAAAAAAGTGATATCAGACAGCATAAACAATTTACTGTTACAACGAACCTATTATATATTCACAAAATTGATCGCCACCTGTAACATACATTCTCCAAGTACCCTTTTTTTATAGGTTGTGGCTAATACAATACCAAATTTTCTCACCAACCAAACAGAGTACATAATTACATAATAATATGAAAAACGTACCCAAATGAAAATAAAGAAAGAAATGGTACCATTGACGGACTCCAACTCGAGAGAAGAAATCTTAACGCCATTTCCAGATTGAAATTGATCCAGAAAGAAGCTGAGCTGGGCTGAAGCCGAAGCCGGTTGTGCCTTCGTAGCATTGCTCAAACTGTTGTTGTTGTTGCTGTTTTGGGTGTTTTGATTGCTAGCTTTGTCTTCGATTGGGTTTTGATTGTTGACCCGTTGCTTCTTCTTCTTCTCCTTCTTCCTCTTGGTGTTGTTGGGGCCAAGCGGCTTACCCTTATTCTTAGGGTTTCTGAGAGACAGCTTTGAAGGGTTCTTTGCTTTCCCGCTCGCCATTTGCAGTTTGCTGGTGCTTGCTTGCTAGTTCCAACGGCTAACTCTCTGCAACTGCAACTGTGTGTTTAAGCAATCGGCAATTAGGGTTGCTAGTTTCTCACCGGTTAGTTAACCGTCTCCTCTCCTCTCCTCTCCTCTCGTCCTTGTATTTTCCCGCTGCTGGTTAGCTAGGGTCACAACTGGAGTACAACTATTTTTTTTATGTTTTGTATTTTTTATAATTTTTTATATTTTAAATATCTCTTCTATTGCCACGGGAAAGACTTCTATGAAATGAGTCTGATCTACTAAACTCTATGACATGCGTAATAGCACTTTAACATTAAGGGCATATTTACGTATCAGTAATGGAGAAACTAAGGAATCAAAGAATTTAGGAATCGAAGAACTACTGAATCGGTATGGGAAGAATCATTCCCATTAAGCTGTTTACTAAACATATGGAATTAGCAATGGAATGAGATTGATTCCCATTGTTATTGTTTACTAATTTGCATAAATCAGAATCCAAATTAATTTTAGAATTATGATAAAGTGATAAGGGTATTTTTGGAAGTTATTAAGAGAAAACAGGAATGGGAATCGTATCGACTACTCCCCCTAGTTGATCTGATTCCTAATTTTGAGGGAATGTGATTACGGATTTTGAGATGGGGCCCACTTTTTTTTTTCATTCCTGATTGTAAGTAAACGCAGGAAAAGTCAGGAATGGAAATCATTCCATTTCCTTTCATACCCATTACTGATACGTAAACATGCCCTAAAAATAAAGAGTAACTAGCCATTTCACATGAGCTTCCGCGTCTACAAGAGGTTTTTTTTTAAAAAATTTAAATTTATTTAGAATTAAAAAAGATAATAGGTAGTTGTGTTCCATAAAAATAGGATCCCTTATCTGATTTTTCTTTTAATTTTAACTTTTTTAAATATGAAAAATTATGAATTTTCCATATTAACCTCATTTAATTAATAATTTCAAAACAAATTTATAAATAAACCCAATCCTAGACATGTATTTATAAAAAAAACCCAAACACTATTTAAACATAGAAACACACCCAAAATCAACAATTGTATATTTTTTGGGTGTGTTTATAAATGGATTTTGAGTGTGTGTAATGATGGGTTTTGGGTGTGTTTATAAAGTGTTTTGGGTGTTGGGTTTTTTTATAATTTCAATTATTAATGTTTGCATTAACTAAGGGCATTTTCTGGTATTTGGAATGTTTCACCATTTTCTACCTTTTACTTTATATATATAGATGTAAATTATTTTTTTTACTAAATTATCGGCTACTATATTTACTTATTGATAACATGAGTAATAGTGTAATTAGATAGTTATCTTAGATAATAGGGCTCCTCTACCAAGAAATTTTACTTTGTGTTTGATCATTTGTATACAAATCATTGAGAATCACCCTCAATTTCAATACGAGATAAGATGAAATGCCCAATGAAGAGCTTGTTGTAACTTGTAACGCAAACCTCATGGTGCAAAACAGATCATGTTAGGCCATCCCCAATGGGGGTTCTATTTGGGGCTCAACCTCCACAAGGCTCCAATATATACAAACTCTCTTTGAAAAGGCATTCTTAATGGTGCAAATTTGAGGCTCTAAAACTTAAAGCCCAACCGGAGTAGTAACTAAATATATGAGATTGGTTGAAGCCCTTGAAACCGAGTGGGACCCACCAATTGAAAAAGTTGCAGCCCACTTTTGTGCTATTTCCCACTTGCTTGCAACTGTACAAGGCATACTTGCCTTAAATTTGGTTGTCCATTTGCATGTTGGGCCACGTGGCATACTTGCCTTAAATTTGGTATTTCCATTTGCATATTGGCCAAAATATAACCAAATTTACAAAACTGTGTCAACAACTCTATTCCAACCTTGGGATGAGCTTGGTATCTATGAAATAAAATGTTGATTTCCAAATTTGGTCCAAATTTTGATTTTTTGTTGAAATGTGATACAAAAAAACAAAAAAAAAAAAAAAAAAAAAAAAAACATAAACAAACAAAAGTAAAATATTTAACCAAAAAAAAACTACTACGTAAATCAAATTACATCATAAAAAAATATAGAGCCCGCCATGAATATAGAACCTCCCATTGTGGAAGAGATTCCTTTAGAGCCCCAAAGATTCCATCGGAGCTCTAAATGAGGCTCTATAAACCATTTTTAGAGCCCCAACCATTGGGGATGACCTTATACCATCAAAATTAATTTTGTGAAAATTAAAGTTTTTCTCAATGTTCTAATTACTGCACCAAATATAGACCGAAGTATCTCATAATATGTGTAATACGGATTAACTGTTGTTTTCTTTATTATTGATAGGAATTCTCTGGTTAAGACCCTAGTTCCAACCATAACTTTTTACATTTTTAATACAAATCTGTCAATAATGTATGAGAAATTACTGAGTCAATAATATTATAGGATATAGCTTTAGAAATATCGTTTAATATTTTGTAAAATAAATTTATTTCTTTGTTCCCCAAGAGAAAGGCCCAACTTTCGACCACAAGCAAGAAAAAAGAAAGAGAAAGAGAAAGGCCCAACTCTAAAAAAGGCCCAGCTCCAAAATAAATTATTTCTTTGTTGCCAGAAAGCCGAGCACAACACCAAGCACGCCCTCTAGGCAGTTGTCTTGTCCTCAGCCTCCACACGGCGATCTCCTCCAACGACGACGTCGTCTCACCTTCCGGAGAAACATCAACAACTTCTGCAGTCCATCTCCCCAATCTGTACACTGCCACGTGTCCCTTCCCTCCTCCCCCACTGTTCATCTCGCTGCTTCTCTGAACTCGCCGGAAATTTCTATCCGACCGGTCCCTGCAAATTCTGGTCTTCTCCGTCCCGCCTGCTGCTTCTCTACAACTAGAACCCACAATTGACAAATAGCTCTTGGCTTTCGAGGATGCCGTTTTGTTCTCACTGTAGAAAGAAAGTCAGTGGAATTAACGATGGTGGTAGAATGTGGGTATCAAATTTTATTTATTTATTTTAATGATGGAGTTTCATGTTGTTAATATGAATTTGATTATGATTTCATTTTGTAATTGTTTGTAGATCGTGTTCTGGGTGTGGGAAGGTTTTAGAGTATGACCTTTACTCTGATGAACCCACATTCGTTAAAAATGCGGCCGGCCAGGTATTGGTTTTTCTTCTTCTGCTTCTGGGTTCTCATTCTGGTTCTGTTTATATTTGACACCAATTGCAAGCTATTATTGGCTTTGTATTCTGTTAAATGGTTTTTGGTTGTGCGTTTGCAGAGCCAATTGGCTGGAAGAAATGTACGTAGCATTCAGAGTGATGACTCAGCTTCTCGTGCAAGGATATTCGAGAATGGTATGGTTTGTTAAGCTTTTTCTTTTCAAAGGTTTGGCTTTTCCGTTGTTTGTTTTGTTGAAGCTTTCCTAACCCCCCATGCACTATTAGCCTATGATTTCTGGGAGATATAAATACTTTATGATGGATAAGTTCCACTTTTCAAGTTCTTTTTAAAATAAAGAAAGAATCTTTTCTTTTTTTGGGTTCAAAGAAATGCTAGCTTCTGCGTGGTGGGCGGACAGCTAGAATTTTCTCTGTAGGTGTGAGGTTAAATTATTGCATAAAGATCATGATTTTCTTTAGAAAGTCTGCTTGGAGACTTGGAGTAGACATGAAACTCGAACATAGAAAGGTTGTGGGGATCATGTGTTAGCATTTCTGGTCAAATCAACTAGAAGGCAACCTTTAGGTTGCATTTTTCAATTGTATGTGTTTTTTATCCAATCATTCACAGACTCGACAGCCGAGAACAAGCATAGAAGGGAGATCAACTACTTTGCATTTGTCTACAGACTTAATGTTCTTATTGCATTTAATACAATGGTACTTGAGCCTCTTGAGTTCATTGAATATTACTATTTTGGTTGAAATCACCTGCCAGTAACCAAGGCAGGTCATATTCCAGAGCAAAGACTGGAGTCAGTCTATATCACTGCTTTGCGATTTTCTTTTAAACTTAGCACATTCTGTTGCTGTTGATTATTTTTATTGATGTGAAGAGTGTGTCAACTTCCACAAACTAAGATGGTTAACTTTCACTTCCACTTTGAAATTTTAATAAACTTTAACATGGCCAATTTTTATCAAGGTTATGTAAAAATTGATGGTAAAAATTTACTGAAGATAAATATGATTTGCCTTATTAATCTGCTCATTTATTCTTTATTTCATTTTGCAGCCGAATACGAATTAAGATGCATGAGAAATGCTTTAGATATGGGAGAAAATGAAGAAATTGTTGACATTGCTAAGCGCTTTTTTAGAGTATGTCTACTTGTAATAATTAAGCTTCATTGTTGCTAGTTATAGAGAACTTATGAACATCTTAATCTGTGATCTGCTTTGCCTTTTAAAGATTGCAGTAGACCGGAATTTCACCAGGGGGCGTAAATCAGAGCAAGTGTTGGCTTCGTGTCTTTACATTGCATGTCGGTAAGGAAACCCCTTATTACTTTTGTATATTATTAATTTTTATTTCCTCATGTTATTCTTGAAAAAATGAGCTTGAATAACTTCTCTTTGGTGCTTGGAGAAATTACATTAACAGAACACTTAGGGGTGGTAACCAATGTAGTCAAACTCTGTACATAGAAAGTTTAAAAACATAATTGAAAAAGAAGAATCTTAAAGAAGAATGTTTAAACTCGTAAAAGCTTCTCTGTTCATGTACCATCAAACTTCAACTGATATGTCAAGAGGATTAGAGTTGCTTATTCTAATTCCGTCCTTAATCGTCTCAAATTCCTGGATTGGAAGCGATGATTAGGTTGTTTTAAGTCGCTTCACCCCACCCTTTTAGCATCTGTTATTCTTAATCTGTCTAAAAGTTCCACTTAGTTTTGGTAGGGCTGTTTGATTCATATAGTTGTAGTTTAGATGTTTGACCACTTGTCCACATAGTGTTGTACTGGTTTTGTTTGTAATAGAAGTTGTTTCTTG